CGGGATTTTTGTAACCTCAACCAACGTTAGAGTCCGTTAGTGTATCGTTCTGAAAAAAAGGGGTGCGCTGACTTGCGTCGTCTGTATGTTTATATTTGCTCCATCTGACACACCCGGTCACTTCAAACCAATCATTGCCCTAACAAATAAAATGTCGATCACAAATTAACTAAAAGAAAAAAATTTCACCCAAATGTTAATCATAACAGCATAACAAAATTTTTAACTAAAATACCGATATTTTATCTGATATTATACAAGATTTTTGCCCTCAAAAAATTACAATTACCTTAATCCATTGCATATTCGAAACAAACACCGATTTGCATGTGAATATACAGATAAAAACAATGTCAAACATAACCCCTATTCCACTTTGGTTTCATATTGCACACATATTTGACAGAAATTCCTTAGATGAGCACACAATACATATCCCCGAACAAATAATATCAACACAATATATAATGTTTGACAACACACGCTATCTAAATTATAATTTATTTCTCACAGATGCCTCGAAAATAAACAACGCTTCCACATCAGCTGCTATTGGCTTACAAGGTAACATTATAACAACAATATGGATAATACCAAACAATACAGAAATAAGACAGGCAGAACTCTTTTCAATAGAAAACGGGCTAAAATACAAACATCATAACAAGTTCTCAAAATCTGTACTATTTACAGAGTCTAACGCTGCACTTCTGCTAATATCGCACCCGAATCCTAAGAATTCTAGAAGTATGACTTTGGAAATAAAAAAATATATATATACAATGGTCAATCTAAATCAAATATTTTTTTTACAGTGGCTACCTTCACATTAAATCCTTAAGGCAAATGAATTAGTAGATCAAGCAGCTAAAAAAAAACAATTTAAGATATCCCATAACCATACTAGAGTACAAAATAAAACGATAAAACAGATGAACAAACAATACTGAGAACCTGGAAAGCTCTGTTACATACAAGTCTTAACACAAAGAATTGTCTCTTGCAGAACACAGAAACGCTGCCATGGTTAAGATCCAACAATAGAACATTCGATGTCTGCATAACCACAATAATAACTAAACACACAATACTAAATACACAAATACATAGAATGCAAATAACAAATGACCCTCACTGTAGATGGTGTCATAATCAAGAACTAGATATATAACAATTCATCCTACACTGTCCACGATTACACTCAAGCTAAAAAAAAATTGAAAGAAGCCTTAACAAACATCAAAGTAATCAACCCTAACATCAACTTATTATTCACAGGTGCAGCTCTGTCCCCAACAGATAAGTTCTATACTCTTAGACACACCTAAATCTTTCTAAGAAAAACCTAACTAACAGAGATCATATAAAAGAAAGATTAGACAAGAAAAAAGATCCAGGGGATACAGACTATGCAAAAGTCTAAATCCCTATAAAAGATGAAAGAATAAAAAGAAACCAATCATGATGGGAGAAGGCAATCCCTGCGTCATTTATAAGCTAATTTTATGTACCATGCGGTTTCCTAGAGAAACATAAGGGTAAATATATCATATACTAGATACAATAAGTATTACAAACATATATGTGCGATTTGATTTCAAAAGAAAAACAATTAACACCCCTTTTCGTTAACGTTTCGATAGCTGCTCAGAGTAGATAAATTTAGCAGGCAAAACTAAAATGACAAACAAAAAAAAAAAAAAAAAAAAAAACAATGATGCAGTTTAATAAACGTCACAGGATAGGCAGCCATCATTTATCAAAAAAAAAAAAAAAAAAAAAAAAGTACGCAACTCCAACTCGTGTGTTATCCAATGCATACCCAGCTCAAAATTTGCTTGGTGAATCAATGTAGCTTGATATGTACTATATCAGATTTTTTTTCTTTTTTTTCCAAATTTAAAAAAAAAATATAAGTTTATCATGTAAGTCATGCTGTTTTGTTGGTAATGTTTTGTTTATTAGTTATGCTATTTTTATTTGGTTGCTTTTGTGTAACTTTCTAGTATATATTCGTTGTTTGCATTTTCTGTTACCTACCTTCATGTATATTTATAAGCTGGAGGTAATTGTAACCTGAGGTATCAGGAAATTCATGTATCATTTTCTTTATATGTGTTCTTGTTTGAAATAATAGAATTATGAAATTAAACATAAGCTTTCTTTTACCCATAATATTTCCACGCATGATACTCATAGACATAGGCTATACAAGTAGAGGTTAACAACAAAAAAATCATTGGTACGTATATATATATATATATATATATATATATATATATATATATGTATATATATATATGTGTGTGTGTGTGTGTGTGTGTGTGTGTGTGTGTGTGTATTTAAATATATAATATAATAATAAATGATTCGAATAACTAAATATATATATATAATATAACAGAAAGAAAGTTAGAATAACTATATATACATATATATATATATATATATATTAACAATAATAATAATAATAATAATAATAATAATGATAATAAAAAATTAGAATAACTACACACACACACACACACACACACAACACACACACACACACACACACACACACACACACACACACACATATATATATATATATATATATATATATATATATATATATATATATATTCACACATTGTTTTAAACCTATTATGTATGTACAACTATAACTATCAAGATATGTTTTTCTTTTAAAACTCAGGGATGCATAGATTTTTATTAATATAATGCAGAAGGGTCAAGTATACAAAATAAAACATAATTTTACAGGAATGTTTAGTAATAACTCGATATATACTGTGCTAAAAATATATAATTCGGTTTTCATGAAAATAAGAACAATAGCTATTGCTCTGCTTTTTAACTTTTCAACCGCTCAATAGATGGAGCTGGAAGCATTTGGGGCCAGATACTCAAAACAGTTGACAGTGTTGTATCTCACATCGGAGCCATTACAAAGTCGTAGGGCCTCCGAAGCCCATACTCGAAACAAAATCAGCCGCCATGTTATGACGTCACACATTGTAAAGTATCTTGTAAAATACAACACCTCGGGAGCTCTTGTAGGGATATCAACCCGGATATAGTAACTTCTTATTTATTGGTTACATAGTCGGCATTATCTTATATAAGCTTTATTTACCCACACGGTGCCTTTTTATATGTTCATCACATCGGAAATTCTTGCCATTCAGTATTAACTTGCCTTGTATGTTTAATTATTGTGATTTGAATAAATGATAAGTTGAATGTCAACACTGTTGACAGATGACAAACACAACTTGGAAATGATAATCATTTATGAACATTTATTCACATACATACATATGTATATGATATGATATGTGTGTGTATACATATATATATATACATATATAGATATAGATATAGCTATATTATATATACATATATTATATATATATATATATATATATATATATATATATATATATATATATATATATATATAATATATGAAAGGGTAAGGAATGCAAGAGTGACTAAGAAACAAGGTCAAATGGCAGTTAAGAACATTAGCCTACGTGGGCGTAGCGACTGCGAGGAGTGAATGAGTGTGCGAGTCGAAGTGTGAACGAAGCCCCGTGAAGCAGTGACGTATGTGAGGATGTGTGCATTCGGATAAAATGAAATGTTGAATGACTGAATGAATGTTGAATGTGTTGTGATTTCTTGTTTATTGATTTATAAAATTATAGATTTTTCTATGTACACCTTAATTATGATTAAATAAATTACCCAATAAACATTATTACGTGACCAAAGAAAATGGAAAAAAGTGCATAAATAGAAAATAAGGGATATTGTGACCAAAGTAATTAAACATGCAAATGTGATGTTCAAATGAAATATAATAAAAGAAAGTGAGATGAAACCCCAAATGAAAATAAAGTAATTAATGAATGTTCAGGGGAATCCCCTAGCGTGAAGTCTCATTCACACTCAGCTGCCCAGACGAGACACACCCACCCGAGGGGGCATTCAACTACAACTTGTACAATTCCTCGGTAAGGAAAAACGAACATGTTTCACTTATCATCAAATGTGAAAAAGTGACCATCAGTGAAAAAGAAAGTAAAGCAGTGAATTAAAATAGGGGTATTTATCAACCAACAGGGTTTCTGGTGCATAGTGAAAAGAACTGTTCCAGGTCAACAAGACGGCCGTCTGCCTGAGTGAGGTATGAGGCATAAGGCGTGAGGCGTGAGGCGTAAGGCGTGAGGCGTAAGGCGTAAGGCGTAAGGCGTGAGGCGTAAGGCGTAAGGCGTGAGGCGTAGGCGTAGGCGTAAGGCGTGAGGCGTAAGGCGTGAGGCGTAAGGCGTGAGGCGTAAGGCGTGAGGCGTAAGGCGTGAGGCGTGAGGCGTAAGGCGTGAGGCGTAAGGCGTAAGGCGTGAGGCGTAAGGCGTGAGGCGTGAGGCGTAAGGCGTGAGGCGTAAGGGGACCTTCTGCTGTTTTTTCGGCGATTTTCGCCCCTCTTGCCGAAATGGACTTTAATGCATTTTCAAGTAGTTTCTAGGCCCCCGGTTCTCCCCTGAAAATTTCAAGGCCCGACCGTTATTTTTTAGGTGGTAGCAGCGATTTTCGATGTCGACCGAAATATTTTTTTGATGGTACCTTAGAAAATCGGCAATTGTGACGCAATGATTAGAGATAATAAAAATATGAGGTTATTTTCTGAAAGCTTATCAAATTTCACATAAGATGAGACCAACCTTCTTTTTTTCGGAATAATTTCAAAAATCCGGCAAGCGTCCAAAAAACGACAATGAAGAAATTTTCCATAGAAATAACTAAACATGATATGTTTTTCATATGGTGTATTTTCTTATCTTTATGTTTTCATCATACATAGTTACTTTGATCTATGAGCAAAAAATTTCGAAAATGCAAACCTCCCCCCCCACCCATGGGGAGTAGTTTTGCCAAATATTCAGGATCACCACCAAAATGGAATATATGGAATATTAATTAGGCTAAGACAAACC